ATTTTAGATGCAATATGCAAGATAATTATGTTAACATGCGACTTTTGTATGTCATCATGCAAGATAATTATGTCAACATGCAACTTATTTATGTCAACATGCAAGACAATTTTGTCAACGTGCAACTTATTTATGTTAACATGCAAGATGATTATGTCAACATGCAAGTTATTTATGTCAACATGCACGAAAATTATGTTAACATGCTAGATATGTAAGTTGATATGCAAGTTATCATCTTGCATGTTGACATAAATAAGTTGCATGTGAACATAAATATCCTGCATGTCTACATAATATCTCGCATGTTAATATTAGTATCTTGCATGTTAACATAAATAAGTTGCATGTCTACATAATTAACTTGCATGATGACATAAATATCTTGCATGCGTACATAATTAACTCGCATGTTGACATAAATATCTAGTATGTCAACATAATTTTCTCGCATGTTAACATAAGTAAATCGCATTTTCTCATAATTATGTTGCATCTTGCATCTACGATGTCAGATACCGGAAGCGTAAATGGCTCTACACTTGTTGTGTTATAACTTTGTATATTGTCTTATATTCTATCGATTTATCAACATAAAAAGTGTTCTACCTCCTTATTTATGTACATATTTTGAATTGTATTAAGATTTTCTAACATAATTGAAGGCAGCTTCTTTTGTTCAATAGATTTTATTGCTTTAAGTTTTATCGACTGAAATAATATATAGATTTTCAGATATTGATAGAAACAAGATATTCAATTATATCGATATAGTATTGTTGATATGATAAAATAAAGATATAGTTATGTCGATTTTAATTTATGAATATTTGCGATAAAGAAGTACGAATAAAGTGTTTCTAAATTAACTTGACGGGGGCGGGAATTCTAATGAACCTTCACTTCACTCGGGATTCAGTGAAAGCTTATGTATCATGTATTTGCCAGCATGTACGACTGAAGGCTAAATCAAATTAAAAAGTATATTGAAAAAGGGAGACGGGACACATTAAAAGTTAGATTCATAGGGGTCTATTGTCCCTATCACCACGTTTGAAAGTGGGAGAGTATCTTTGTGCGCCTCGTCCAGCTTTTAAAAACAACAACAACAAAACTGAGTACAGCAGAGATCCACAAATATATCACCAAAATGAAGAAAATTCTTGCAGTTGGATTATTAAATCCATGGGGTGTTTTTCTTGTTATATATATTTAATTTGGCTGACACCACACTTTCCTCCTTTAAACTTTGTGACTAAGCTTAATATGCAGATTGACTGAAAATTATTTCATATTATTTTACGCAATAAGAAGTTAGATTTTTATGCAGGGCGGGGGAGGGGTGGTTTTCAAGACTGTGGAGGTTCGTTTTCATGAATCAGATCCTATGTATACCACAGAGTGGAACAACATCACATTTTATTTACAAAGACATAATCAGCGTTACTTTTATAATATTGTTACTTTCTATTTTCGTTTCATTGACGATTTACAATCCCACATTGAACTCAAGAGATATAAGCAGTGACCCATGATAGAATATATCAGATTCCCTCTTCAAAATGATGGGTACAATAACCCCCTATGACAATGCATATAGCTTAACTGTTGATGTCTCTCCATCTCCATTTTTAAAATGTTTTTTGATTTTGTTTCAGCCTATAATAGTACACGATAGCAAATACATGTACATAGTACATAAGCTTTCACAGAATCCCGAGTGAGTAAAGATTCATTAGATTTCCCGCCCCCGCCAAGTTAATTCAAAAACACTTTTTTCTGACTACTTGTCGAAAATATTCATATATCTTTATCGATATAACTACATATTTATTTCTTCATATCGACAACAGTATATCGACATGATTAAATATCTTCTTTCAGTCGATATTTGAAAATTAATGTAATTTCTCAGTCGATAAAACTTTAAGCAATATAATCTATTGAACAAAAGAAGTTGCCTTCAATAGTGTAAATACATCTCAATACAATTCAAAATATGTACATAAATAAAGATTATAACACTTTATATGTTGATAAGTCAATAAAATATTAGACAATATACAAATACAAGTGTAGAGCCATTTACGCTTCCGTACACATACGGGCGTCAGCACGGAATTTTTTCCATATTTAAATCAGATTCTCTTAAAAGATTTGTAACTTGCATGTCAACATAATTATCTTGCACGTTGACATAATTTTCTTGCATGTTGACATAATTTTCTTGCATGTTAACATTATGTTAACATAATTTATCTTGCATAAATATGCCACCAAATAAATATCTTGCATGTCGTCATAAATATCTTGCATGTCGGCATAAATATTTTGCATGTCTACATAATTATTTTGCATTTTTACATATGTATCTTGCAAATTAATATAATTTACTTGCATGTTGACATAATTATCTTGCATGTTGACATGAATTAGTTACATGTTGACTTAATTATCTTGCATGTCTACATAATAATGTCGCATCGTGAATCTAAAATGTAAGATATAGGCGTTAGTAAGTAAATTTGTCCATATTTAATTCATATTTTCTTATAAATTGGTAACTTGCATGTAAACATTATACATATATTACATGGCTTCGAGGACAGCATACCAGAATATTTGCCCCAAGGTGACAGGAAAGTCCTGGAGTGTTATGTCGCCCGATGCCGCAGGCAGAGGGAGACATAACACTCCAGGGCTTTCCTGTCACCGAGGGCCAAATATTCTGGTATTGCTGCACGAGAATTAAGCCATGTAATATATGATATATAACATTTTTAAGCATTGAACCCAAATCGATCATCGAACATATTCATTGAACACTATGAACACTTATGTACGTTGAGTATAATTCCGAAATATCCCGTCCCGTTTCATGGCAGAATGTTTTCAGTATGCAGAGTTGATAACCTTTGTTGTATTTAGAGAATTTTTCTCCTCAGTTAAATTATCTAATTCGTCTGAATTCAAATAAACAAATCGCAGACGTTTTGTCGACTTTTTTAACTTTCGCGGAACTGTTTACGTTTGCTTATCAACTGCCTCTGTGAATTTCAAAGCCGACGTAATTGATATGCAGATTGCACAATAGGAAACATAACTGTGTTCGGGAGGGCAACATAACTGTTTTCGGCGTGATTCGGCAGTTTTTCAGGGCATATAGATAAAAATGTTATATTTCTGATATAATAGGAAAACTTCTTCAAAAATGTTACATTATACATATATTACATGGCTTCGAGGGCAGCATACCAGAATATTTGCCCCAAGGTGACAGGGAAGCCCTGGAGTGTTATGTCACCCGATGCCGCAGGCAGAGGGAGACATAACACTCCAGGGCTTTCCTGTCACCGAGGGCCAAATATTCTGGTATTGCTGCCCGAGAATTAAGACATGTAATATATGGTATATAACATTTTAAGCATTGAATCCAAATCGATCATGGCAGAATGTTTTCAGTATGCAGAGTTGATAACCTTTGTTGTATTTAAAGAAAATGTTATATTTCTGATATAATGGGAAAACTTCGTCAAAAATGTTACATAATAAACTAGCATGCTGACATAAATATGTTGCATGTCTACATAATTATATAACATTTTTGAAGAAGCAAACGTAAACAGTTCCGCAAAAGTTAAAAAGTCGAGACAAAGTCTGCGATTTCTTTATTTGAATTCAGAGGAATTTAATTGAGGAGAAAAATTCTTTAAATACAGCAAAGGTTATCAACACAAGTGTAAGCATACTGAAAACATTCTGCGAACAGGACGGGATATCTCGGAATTATACTCAACGTACATATGTGTTCATAGTGTTCAATAAACATGTTCGATGACCGATTTGGATTCAATGCATAAAATGTTATATACCATATATTTCATGTCTTAATTCTCGGGCAGCAATACCAGAATATTTGGCCCTCGGTGACAGGAAAGCCCTGGAGTGTTATGTCGCCCTCTGCCTGCGGCATCGGGTGACATAACACTCCAGGGCTTCCCTGTCACCTTGGGGCAAATATTCTGTTATGCTGCCCTCGAAGCCATGTAATATATGTATAATGTTGCATGTTAACATAATTTACCCTGCATGTAGTGGGCAGAAATATGCCACCATACTCTTCCCAAGTGAGTGAAAGGTTACTTTAACTTATTTTTCAAATTTCTCAGTTGAACATGTTAAACCAGGGCCGTAAATACCTTTGAGGCAATTGCCTCACTAAAATTTGTTAGCAAATTCTGAAAAGTGAAAAAAAAGTTTAACTTCAACTTTAATTCATTTTGTGTGTCTTACAGTCTTAGTAATTAGTAATTCATCTCTAAGCATTATAATTTTGTTTCAACATCTGTATATCGATCATTTCATCGGGTGCTTCATTATCGTTTAGAACGCGTATAAAAATAATTCAAAACATTAATTTTGTTTGTTTGCTTTTCTCGTAAAACATCCATTCTGAGAGTTTTTCATTCATTTTGAGACGACACCGTTTGGGCTGTTAGTTTTAAAGCTACTCTCAGCACCCAGGGTAATTGAGCAATGAGAGTTTTTTGTGCCAGCAGACATTTTATACTTCGATATGCGAGCTCATTTTTTACAGACTCATCCGAAGGACCAATCTCCACGTCCCGCAGTGGGATTCGAACCTGCGACCCAAGGATCAACTCCTTACTTTGCGAATCTGAAGCAATAACTTTGTGCCATGCGGGCGACAATTAAAAACGTAAAAAAAAATTCAAAGATTGTTTTTATTTACTAAATCCTCGTTTTTGGGAACTTTCACTCCCCTCAAAACGCCGGGAGGTCTCCAGATCTATTGCCTCACCAACAACTTGAGTCTACATGTACTTACGGCCTTGTAAACCAACTATTGAACAAAATTTATCGTTGAAACGTATTAATTAATCTGGCTTAACTGGAAAAAATAATTCCTATACCAATAACCGACATTATTTTTTAACAAAAGTGGTGTTCAAGTTGTTATTAGATGTATAAGAACCTACCTGGTCTTTTACATCTCTTACAAAGCCCTTTGCTCTCCAGTCGATAAAGTCAGGAACTACTACATTACTGGATGCAGTGAATGAGGAACACACACCATCTTTAATTGGCGTCGTGTTTAAACCATTGCATTTCAAATATTCCTCATGAGTCTGCAATTTACAATAACATGAAATAAAATTCTCTTAATTTTCAAAAATACATCCTCCAACAGCCATCTTTCCCCAGACAATGCACATGACAAATTACCTTAAATATGCTCTAGTATTTAATTAAAAATCATAAATCACAGACTGACGGACAGATAGAGGGAAGGGGAAAATCTTGTGTTTCTATCCGGTTTCACTCGTTGGGTACTAATTATATGTATAAATGATGAAGTTGATAAAATTAAATAGAACCTTATTTTCTGTATCATAAAAAAAAGTCAGGGAGTACTATTATTTTATACAATCTGTTTCAGTTTTCTTACCAGAGTAATACTAGTCATCTATTTATACTTATGATAAGTTTTAAAATATATATATATATATATATATATATATATATATATATATATATATATATATATATATATATATCAAAAAATAATTTTTCCTTGGTATAGGGATAAAATCCAATTTCAAATGACAAAAATATATCAAATATATGTTTTGTGTGAGTTATCTTTAATAATATAAGTTAAACAGCCAGGTTGTTTAGTAACAGATTATTAAAACCACTGTGCTATAATAAAATAAAAAGATTCATGAATTTTATTTCTCATGTTGATCAGATCTTACAATATCAAAGTTTTGGCCATCATCTTAATAATTAATCAATAACCATATACTAGCTAGTATTCGCTTAGACATGTTACATTAGGAACAAACTACGAGGGTTGTCCCAAAAAGTCGTAGACAATTTTAATAACTTTTCTAAAACGCAACCAATACTGACCAAATTTTGCACAGACATAATGTATTAAATGTTCTTTAAAATTGTGAATTCTTAAATATATATCTTTCATATTTATTTGAAGACCGATATGGTCTGTCGGCGCACGACCAAATTCGCATATAACTATTACAGTGTATATTTGCTTTTATTTCTTTGGTACTATGTAAAAGATTTAACTAAAATTTAAATCACTGAAACCAGAATCAGAATCTTAATAATATGTCAAAAATTTCGTATAAATAGCATCAGAGACAGACGACTAGCGACATGATTTTCAAAGTGTTGTTCGACTAGAGATTGACGAAAATGATGTCATTGATCGCGTACCCGGCGCACGGAAATGTAATAAATAGTTTTTGGTATGTTTTATATTCATCAGAGACGGGGGAAAGAGTACAGAAAGGACACAAATTATTTTTTTTCTCTATATCGAAAAAAAAGTTATTGCATGTAAGAAGTAGAGTACTGTTTGTTAAACGCAGACATTTGGAAACGTTCTGGGTCACGAACGTCGTCAAACAAGGTGTATTCTCTGCTCTGCTGATTAAAATGTAAGGTAATTTTGACTAAAATTTGAGTCTGCATAGAAAAGGGTCGTATAGTTACCTGATGAGCATTTTCTATTTGCGACTATATCATGGTATTTAAGATTCTAGTTCTTTTTGAATCTCATATGCTGGATTAATGAATATTGTGTATAGAGATTTCAAAGGCCACGATGTAATTTATATTCTAATGACATGAATAAAAAAAATTAACTATGTTTTTTAAAACAAGATGTGTTTGTGAAACACTATGCGCCCGGCGGCAACAAATATTTTTAGCATATAGGTCGCAGTCAAGGTCACAAGGCCATTGATTTGGTGTCATTTGAAAGAACTAGATTAGGGAAGTATGCATACCAAATATGAAGTCTCTATCTCTTATTTTTCAAAAGTTATGGTGAATGTTCAAAAAAGCCATTTTTAGCATATAGGACACAGTCAAGTTCACAAGGTCATTGACCTTGGTGTCATTTGAAAGAGCTGAAATAGTGGAGTATGCATTCTAAATATGAAGTCCCTATCTTTTATGGTTCAAAAGTTATAGCAAAGGTTAAAGTTTGCAGCAAAAAAAAAATTTGGTACATAGGTCACAGTCAAGGTCACAAGGTCATTTACCTTGGTGTCGTTTGAAAGATCTTAATTAGTGGAGTATGCATATACCAAATATGAAGTTTCAACCATTCATGGTTCAAAAGTTATGGCGAAGGTTAAAGTTTGCAGACAAACAGACAGACAGACAGGACTAAAACAATATACGCCTCTGATCTTTCGACTCGGGCACATAAAAATAGGTACTGAAACTTTACTAATAGATATGCAAATAGCAAAATTTATATGTCTCTTACAAGGTCAAAAAATTGGTTGACTCTCTGGTAGTAAGATGTTTTCCCCATGTGATATAGTTTGTTATGTTCTTCGACTTTCTGAATATTTTCTCTGAAAATCTCAAAGCGATGGATCTCCTCTTCAACAGATTTGTAGGTTTTACCTGCAGCAAAGCAAATATTATTCAAAAGCAAAAAACAAAAACACTCCCCCACAACCCCCCCCCCCCCCCCCCAAAAAAAAAAGAATGTTCTTTTTTTATTCCAGAACATATCTACCTACCGCATACTTATGATGCCAAAGCTTGTTGGAAATCAGACCAAAATAATGTTACATATTTTGTAGATCGTTTATCAAGGTGCTTAAATATCAAAATGAAGCGTGTGCCATCTTGCATATGCTATGAATTTTATAGTGTTATTTTGTAATCTAATTTATTGTGTATTTCATTCTGTGCAAAGATGATCATTTTTTATAGAAACAAGCGTATATAATTAAAACAATGACATTAAAATTCATGTCCGAGCTTTGAGGGTGAGAGATGGAGGCCATTGCAAAATGTGGACCATTTTCATGCATTTAAAAAATACAAAGTAAAGCAACATGACGTTCAATCAAGTTGAAAGAATAAAAAATCAGTTTAATATTAAAAATATATCAGAGGTCTCAACCTCCCCTAGAGGGGTGGGCTGGGTGAAGATGTAAGCAAATTTGAATCTACACTAACCAAGGATGCTTCAATATTTCCTGTCGACTTATCTTTATACGATTTTTAGATTTTCCTTGTATGTTTTTCTATGTAAAGGTTTGATCTTTGAAGTATCACACTGGTCTCGCGTGACCTAGCATATTTTGATCAAACTTACATCTACACTATTCGTCGCGTGGATACTTCTTTATTAATACAACCATTCGTACTTTGCTCTTCTTAGTAAGAAAGGACTTCTAAAATTATTTGCTGCATTATAGTCCTATATATGGTGGCATATTTCTGCCCCTTGTGTGCAAGTTATTTTTCTATCAAATATGTCGACATGCAAGATAGATATGTTGACATGCAAGATAGCTATGTCAACATGCAACATAAATATGTTGACATGCAAGAAAATTGCAATCAAATAAAAATTATTAAAAATCTTAGAAAATCTCAAATATGGCCCACGTGTGACATCAAACATGCTAGATGCTACTTATTTATGTTAACATGCAAGATAAATATGTTGACATGCAACTTTGATATGTTAACATGCAACTTACTTATGTTGACATGCAACTTAGTTATGTCGACATGCAACTTACTTATGTCGACATGCAACTTACTTATGTTGACATGCAACTTATTCATGTCGACATGCGAGATAAATATGTTGACATGCAACTTATAAGTTGCATGTCGACATAAATATGTCGCATGTTTACATAGATAAGTTGCATGTCAACATATTCATCTTGCCTGTTAACATAAATAAGTTGCATGTCAACATAAATAAGTTGCATGTCGACATATTTATCTCGCATGTCAACATAACTAAGTTGCATGTCAACATAAATAATTTGCGTGTCAACATATTTATCTTGCATGTTAACATAAATAAGTAGCATCTAGCATGTTTGATGTCACATGTGGGCAATATTTGAGATTTTTGAAGACTTTTTATAATATATATTTGATTGCAATTTTCTTGCATGTCAACATAATTATGTTGCATGTTGACATAACTATCTTGCATGTCAACATATTTATCTTGCATGTCGACATATTTGATAGAAAAATAACTTGCACACAAGGGGCAGAAATATGCCACCATACCTATACATGTACAAAACTTTGACCTCTTATACATGTAAGGACCCCGTCCTGTCCCCGAAATTCTTATTAAAAGAATCTTGAATTAAAGCCTGAAGATGCTTCCAATAATATGATAATCATTCAGAGATGGATTTTGAAAATAAATCCTGTGTACTCATATTATGCATTGACCCCTTTAAAATATTTGAACAATCTTGAATCTCCAATACTTTACGTGACTGTAGTTCTATACTAATAACAACAAATCAACTACTCTTGAGGAGAATACTTCAAATTTCCCCCTACATATACCAATGTTTAATTCTGATGACATGTTATCGTCTTATTCTACCCCCATTGGTAATGATTTGATTGATTGATTGTATACTGTTTAACGTCCCTCTCCAGAATATTTCACTGATATGGAGACGTCACCATTGCCGGTGAAGGGCTACAAATTTAGGCCTTTGCTCGGCACTTGCGGCCTTTGAGCAGGGAGGGATCTTTATCGTGCCACACCTGCTGTGACAAGGGGCTTCGGTTTATACGGTCTCATCCGAAGGACAGCCCCATTTACGACAAGCAAAGGGGTACTGAGGACCAATTCTAACTCGGATCCCCACGGCGCGTAATGATTTGAACAAACTGAACATACGCTATGTAATAAAGCTTTCGTAAACACTGCTGTTTAAATGTATACAACAAGCAGCATTAACTTAAAGGAAGTATAAATATGTGATTATTTCATTTATGTATATTAATTCTGTGCTTTACATCCTGTATTTTGTATTTATGTTATCTGATAAGTCATATGACTTAAGGAATAAATAAACAACAAATGCGAATTTACTGGTTTCGGACACCTGCTACTTTTGGTTTACATCAATGAGGCAGTATTATGTATAGGTCAATTAGACGTTCAGACAAAGGAATCTGAAACATGTACATGTAAGGGTGTAATTATTAATGTTAAAAAGGTTTTTATGCAGTAGAGGTGCTTGTCGGTTGAACTCAAATAAGGAGCAACCCTTTTTACTGGACCTGTTAATAGTTACTGTAGCAGTTTACAAATTAACTCAAATTGCTTTAATTGTGTTTAAAGGGTATGATTGATTGATTGATTGTTATTGTTGTTTAACGCCAGATCGGCAGTATTTCAGCCATATTTCGGCGGAAAACTGGTATGAGTATATATCATATTTTGATACTTTTAATGATTTTATATGTTTATGTTTCACATGATGGAAACTTTTATGTAGTATAATCTTTTTGTGCTAACCGTGCAAATATTTTTTCTGAAACGTGCAACATTTGGCAGCTACATGTATAACACATTAAAGTAAAGACAAGATAAAAGTGTTTCTATTCAAATGCATAAAAATACGCATGATAATTGTACCATTATTTAGAGAAAGATTAAGTAAATTTTCTCATACATTACATTTTATACATGTAATAGCCAGCGCATTCCATGACATAACGTCATAATCCTTTACCACCGGAGGTAATAAAATACATCAATAAAACAGCTTCGGTTAAAAGGCATATCCAATTTTATTTAACAAAAATGATGTATAATGCAAAGAAGAATATGTTAAAAATTGACAAAATCGCTGCACAAATTCTACACACTCTCATTTGATCAGAATTTAAGGAAACCTACACAGAACTGTGCAATTTTCCCCGTTTCAACTCAAAACTTTACATATAGTAGCTAAATCATTAAACTGTCGATTTTTTTGCAGTACAAATTTACATGTTCACTACTTGGAAAACTTTGCTTCTAATTATGCATTTAAAAAATGAATAAATACTAGAGTATTCCCTTTTCCAGAAACTTTTGTTATAGTAAAGAACAAAGACGTCATAATAGGAAATATAAGGTGCACTGGCTATAACCTGCCGATGGTACCAAGTTTGTATAAGAGATTAGGTTTTAGCCCTCTTGTTATAAAAGGTAAAAACCTTATAAATTTCAATGAGATCATTTTACAGAAACGCCTGTATCTAGCCTTAACTCACTTGCAAATGCTACGTTTGTAAGGATCAACTCCATCCGCCGCCACCTTTGTGCAAACGCTCTAACCAAAGTGCCACCCTGGCGACAATCCAAAACGCAAAAAACTTTTAAAGATTGAGTCTTTAATTTGCTTATAACCTGCAAATTTCGGGAACACCCCATCCTCATGTGACCCCCCCCCCCTCCCCGAAATGGGAACTACTCACACCCCGCCTGTGACTAGGGAGACCGCCAGACCCCTCGCCTCACAAAAAATGACCTTAGTTACGGCCTTGGATAGCGCAACATGTTTAGTGCAAATTAAAACTGCTTGAATACACTCCCAATACAAATAAACCTCAGTATTGGAGCGTTGTTTCATAAATTAATCTTGTATCACATATTTTAAATGTATGAACCCCCCCCCCCTAAAAAAGAGAACTCGCTCAAAGTATAGTGTGTATATATATATATATATATATATATATATATATATATATATATATATATATATATATATATATATATATATATATATATATATATATATATATATATATATATATATATATATTTCAATTATTTCTTTAAAACAGTTCGCTTTTTTTTTTAGATTACATTGGTTATCAGCATTATAAATCATTAAAATATGTCACAAAATGTGTTAGTACAGGGTCATTGAAGCTCAAACCAATAATTCAGTTTTCATATATATCTATACATTCCACTTAAAACCTGCTATTCTGAACCTGTGCATACCCCTATCAACCTGAAACTTTAGAATTAATGAATTTTTATGTAGAAAAATTTAAATAAGAAGCCCATGAGTCACTTTGCTCATCCTGGGCACAATGATTAGGAAAGCGCTGAAAACAGATCAGTATTGAAAACTTTACAGGGGAGGGACGGGGATAAACTTAAAGAAGAAATTTCAATAAGACTTCATCTTTGCCTACATTTTTGCAGCGGACTGTTTGCAATTTTAAGGTTATATTTCAGATTTCAAACATTTATAGTTTTAAGTTTTATATTTGTTTCACGAAAAGAAGTTGCCATTGGAATTTTAAGCAATGGTTACTTACATGCACAGAGGCATTTTACCTAAATATCGTCGTGGTACGCAGTGCAACACGTACTTGAATAAGATTGATAGGTTTGCTAATGCATGCATGATGAGTTGTGGTTAATTCTCACAAAAAATTAAATGAACAATACACATTTATAACTTATGCAAAAACAATTAAGAAAAAGAAAATAAAAGAATATAACAATTAGGTATCTTCCTTGATTATATCTAACATAAAAGAAAAATATTAAATTTGACTAAAACATACGTGTCTCTATGAGGGACATAATAACCATTTTGACTTTTTCG